AAACCGAGCTAAAGTAGCTGAACCACGGTTAGAAAGGGAAGGGGCGAGCTTTTATTAATCAATCTCTTAGCTTGTGCATTCTTTCTGGATGGCAGAGAGTTTAATTAACCTTTTTTTTAATGACTTTAACTCTCCCCAAACAAGCGGTGTCACGTCCTGCTGCGATGATGCACTTAAGAGTTTTTTATGACGGGAACCCATTTTTAAAAAAAAAATCCCGTCCCAGCCACTCGCACGTCATCTGCCGGGGTCACTGAACCCGGAGTACTTCAGTGGCTTTAGAAGTAGGTTTTTGTGTGAATCTAGGACAGCCGCTGATTGCAACTGGGACAGGCTGTGGCAACACTCAGCTCAATCCTTTACATGCAGTTCAAGTGCTTTGCAGTCCCTACATTCTGTGAAGCGCTTTTGAGACGCGATAAGGCGCTATAACAAATGCAAGGAATATCATTCTTTGCATATAATAATCCCATTCAACCACGGCTTCTGGTGGTGAGTCCTGCGTTTGCACCACACACTCGAGGGCAAAGGGGTTTGTGTTGTGGTGCCGATATCCCCAGCACTCTGTTTATGCTGCCCGGATTCATTGGGAACCACGTGCCTGAGAAATAATACTGTCACTAACTTGCTCTGCACTTCCAAGCTCCTTAACAGTAGAGACACACCTGCCCTGACTCTCTTGTTGGGCTCAGTGGGAGAGGCTGGTACCGCGAGCCTCTGTCGCCTGCATTCCATCCTTTTATGTCCGCCATCCCTTTCATTCCACAATGCAAGCGGCAGTAGCTCCTCATACCTTTTCACTAACCGGCGACAAACAGTCTGTCGCAGTTTGATTTCTGGCGACGACGGATATTGTTTGGAGGGGGAGAGGGTTTGGGGGTGGGGGGGGAGGTGTGGATAGGGCTCTACAGGTGGACAAATTGGCCTTGATGCAGGTATCCACACTTCAATATCTTATCAGTGTCAGAACTGCCTTGGCGTAAGAACAGTTTCTGTGTGTGGCAGTAGGTCTCGGGGGAATATAGCGAGTCTCCATTGGAATAATGGGAGCCCTCGCACTGAAACTGCTGTCACTCACCAGACGCTATAAGTTGGAGAGGTTTGAGGTGCTGAAAAGCCTCAAATGCCGGGCGAGTTGACACCTTGAAAAAGGAACGTGGTTTTTGTGGCAGAGGCTCTCTCACCCTCTGAAGACCGGGACTACAGAGGATAAAGGATGGAAGAGAAACGGCAAACGACACTATCAGGGAAGGCTGTTGTGTTAACTCCATGAAAATTCCATCAGTGCAGTAAGGATTCACGGGCTTGGAGGTTTGTGCTGTGCGGAGAAGCCGGGAAGCAAAAACTGCGGAAGGCAATCCATCGGGTTTTACCAAACTGGTGTCAATGAGAAAGAGAAAAAGAGATACTGTGCAAAGAGAGCAAAAACTTTGGTTAGAAATTCCAGTTGGGGAAAAGATAAAGAAATCCGCCCCGACCTCGCGAACCAGCAAGAACTGCCTTTTGTTGTCCGAATCGCACGCGCTTAGAGTAACTGCTTTTTGCTGGTGGGATCGCTGCATTGTCGGAGGTGCCCTCCTTCGCGCGAGAGGTTCAACCGAGCCTGTGAAAGTGGACGATATATTTTAAGGTCGTCAACGATACTATTCAGATAAGACCAGGGAGTTTCTTGCAGCATCCCTCCCAGCCAACAGACTGTCAAACGGCCCGGGACGCGAGCCAGTGGGAAGGGCGCTATGATTGGCACACGTTGTTGTTGCTGCTGTTGTTGTGGAACAACAGTTCACAGTTAATTCTTGTGAAGGGTTGTGGTGGTGAAGGCTCCGGAGATAATTATTATCGTTTGTGAACCTGTCAGCAGCTCCCCTCGCGACTTGAAAGGAGGACGTATTCCTCGCCTATGTTTCTCTCTCTTTCTTTTACACATAAAAAGCAAACAAGAGCATCAGAACTCTGCACATTAGACGCTCGCGTGAAGTGAAATGGGTTCTTTCTCGCTCTCATCGATTCAAGCTCTGCGTAGGCCTATTGCACAGGCAAAGTGCCATCAATCTTCCAGTGATGCCTTTTCTTTTATGATGTGGTTTTTGTTTTTGAAGCATTAAAAGTGAGCAGAATCTCTCTCGCTCAGTCGCCTGCGTTGAATATTGCTGCCCATGCAACCGCAGCTCTCTCTCTCTTGCTCTCGCTGTGTGTTTTTTTTCCCCCATTTTGCCCAAGAGACCCGTGCACATTCATTATCTCAGCAATTGCTTGATGGATACTGTGGAACGAGCCACATCAAATTTAAACCCCGTGTCTGCAATTACACAAAAAAATGGTCTGCAAGGAAATTGTTTTGTGTGCAATCTCTTTGCTCAACTTTCCTTCTTAAATGTTGCGCTTAAAAAAAAGAGACAGTAAAGAATGAACTCACAGAATGAACGAGGGAGTGAGTGAGAGAGAGAGAGAGAGAGAAGGGAGAGAAATGTGTAGTATTTTGATCGGTTAGAAAGTTTTCTGTGCGTTGTAATAAAATAATAACAATAAAATAATCATTGCATTTAATATAGAGCCCAATCCCCGTCGTTGAGACGTCTCAAAGCGCTTCACAGAATATATCGTGAAGTGAATCGTCTCTGATCACCAGAATTGAATTGGCGTTTTGTGAGCAATGATCTCTTCTGATATAAAAGAGTGGTTTGAGACGTTTGAAGGAAACAGAGGAATGCTCTTGCAATCAGAAATCTGTGTCAACGTTCTCACATTGGAGCTGACACTTTGATTCCCCCCCAGACCTCGCAAACCAGCAAGAACTGGCTTTATTATCCGAATGGCATGCTCTTGGAGAGTTACTGCTTTGGCATGGGGGCATCTCTGCATGGTCGGGAGATGCCGTCGTTTCTCTTGCGCGTTGCTTGCAGTGAAATAAGTGCAGAGATCGCCTTTACCGGTCGAAAGACGAGACCAAAGTGGCCTTGGCACTGGTTACAACACAATTGGGCAATTTAGTGGCATCGCAGCGAATTGCTGTGGGGCTGCTTTGAGGTCTCAATCAGTCTCAACAGCTGTGAAGGTGTCATGAGCAGTCAGGGGCAGGTTAAATCGAGTCTGTTCAGCAAGTGTGGGCTAGTTCCTCTTGTTAAGAAAGGGATGTTGCTCAGCAATATCTGATTTCCCTTGGGATTCGGACGTAAATCTTTAAAGCCAAGGTGAGCGTCAATATTCCTGACCGGAGGGAGCAGCAGCAGGAGGAGGAGGAGTGCTTTGAATGGTTCAATAAACTCGTGAACAATCCTTAGATAAAAGTGGTTGTTCACGGCGTGGCTGTTTGAACGCCATATTGGTTGCCATATGCTTCTTCAAATAGTCACAACATTGAAGTCCGACGTTCTTCAAGCATGGAGGCTAATGAAATAGCAATGATAATAGTCAGTGCCTTCGATTTAGCATCTTTCGTGTCTGGAGGATGGCCGTGGGTTGCTGTGGGTTATCGAGGCTCTTGATCGCTAATTAACACGAGCCTTAAACACAGCCCCCTGGCTGAAGTGTGGGCTTGATGTTAACACAGAGTGTGGGCTGCTGTTCTATACGCTGCGAAACAATTCCAACCGGGTCACGCAGGGCAAATCACTCGCACGGCGCTGAAAATGTCCAGAAAGGCCGGCCACACAACAAAGCCTCAGCGAGGTGAGAACAGTCCTTTTGAAGCATTTTGAATCACAACTTGCCGTGCGTGAGCGGCTGCTTTTAAAGTGTTCCAAATCGTCTCACATCCACGTTCCTCACTCGTGTGTTTGTTGCAAGAGACAGACAGACACTTGGTGGGTAGTTTGGTGTTTCGCCATCGCAAAATCTACAGTCAGTTCACTTCACGGTGTAACCTGTGAAGCGCTTTGAGACGTCTCGAAGACGTGATAAGCCGCTGTATCAAACGCCAGGATTATTATTATTATTCTCCGCCAGTGCCAAGCCGGGAAACCAGTGACTATTCTGACTGTTGCGAAGGGATTAGCCGCTGTGAGGAAATGTAAATGAGTACATTACACAGTCATCAATCAACCTGCTCCTGCTGACCTTTTCACCTGTTTGCAGTCGCTGTCAGGAGCTGCTTTAATCATATTAATGAAGTCGGGGCCTTCACTCTGGGCGCAGATGAAATCCAGGCCAGTGAGATATTATTCAGCCAAATCGAGCCTCCCATCCCTACGGGGAAGTCATTCATTCCAGCCCGCTTGAAACAAAACTATCCCTATTGGTTGCTGCGTTTTTACAAGTAGCTCTTTCAGTGGGTGTATTAAATCACCAAATGTTGTATTTAACAACATCAGCAAATTGCATTTATATAGTGCTTTTCAGGTTGGGAAAACGTCCCAAAGCACTGGACAGTCAAGGGCTTGAACCCGAGCTGGGGGTTGGAAGAGTGAAGGGTGGAGAGCAAGGCGTGTGGGAGGACCATCAAAGACGTGGTCGAAGAGGAAGGTCTTAAGACGATGTTCGCACAATGACCGGCGCTACGTATAAATCCCTCCGCGCCCCAGCACCTCCCTTACCTCTCGGATCTACCCCTGTCCTTCTCCTCAAGTGCGCTGGGACTCTACCCTGCGTCAGGGGTGCTATGCAAATGCAAGTTGTTGTTGTTGTTCCTCCGCCCACGCACAGTGGAAGTACAGCATGTTTCAAACACACCAGAGACACCCAGGTGACTGGACCCAGCTCCGATTTGGACACCAGCAACTCAACGAGTCTAAGTGCTGCAATTTGGACCAGAGGTCCCCAAAGGATTGAACATTTTGTAACATTAACCGTCCGGACTGATGAAGTAGATGAATGAAGTTTCTAGCATGTATTGTCAGGCCTCTTTTTCTCCCTCTCTCTCGCTCTCTCTCTCTCTCTCATCACCCCACCCGCCCCAACACACACACACACACACCTTGGGCTCGTTGCTTTCGAGCTTGATTTATTTACGACATTGCTGAAACCGTATTCTGTTCTCTTCTCTTTTTCTCCCTCTCTCTCAGGGAGGAAGCGATGCGCTCTACCTACTTTGAGACTCCAGACGACCTCCTATCGTCGTTCGGCCCGGTCCGTGATTGCTCCCGGGATAACGGAGGCTGCACCAGAAACTACCGCTGTGTGTCTGACCGCAAGATCGATTCCACAGGTTGCATGGTACGTTGCCTTCCGGGGTAAAAACGGGCCTCGAATGAGGGGAAGGAGGGAGCGCGTCGGAGGGATTCTGGACGTGAGCCCATCTGCCGATGGTTTCTAAATCGCTGCTTGAAACGATTAAAAATGCGGGTTCCGTGTGTTGTTTTGAAATGTCAGGGCAGTATTCTGTAAGGGAACTCAGTGTTGGGGGGGGAACCTGTTCTGCAGGGAGATTGGATTTACGCAAGGAGGAAGAAATTGGATGGGAATTACCATGAGTCACGAACAATTGAGTCAGAGCGACCTTATAAGCATACTTCTCAGGCACTGTTCCCAATCCGTGCAAGTGCCAGACACGGTGCGAATCCATCACACGTTACTGTTAGTCTTGCTGAAAGCTCTGTACGCCTAACCGCACAGAAGATTGATTGCCTGGTATCGATACGCACCCGTCAATGCTTTGCCCACATCACAGAACCTGAGACGCGTGAGGTTTTTTTTTCATTAGCGCCTGATGATGAATCTAGAGTCCAGTCAAATAAGATCCATGATTGAACTGAGAACCGGTAGCCTCACAGCAGGGAGCTAGGGGTGGCAGAGAGCGAGAGAGAGAGAGACGCAATTAAGCATTCGCATCACTTAGAGGCCCTCAGTTATTATTAAAGTGGCAGCATTGCAATCCTGCTGCAGTTGTGGGAGTGAGCCCACAGCCGAGTGTCACGCTGGCAGGAGGGGAAGGCTCTTGAATTAATGAAAATTCAGGTTCATGAAAGATTGCACAGAGAGACGATCGCTCCCACTGACCCCGCACCCCCCCCACACGCTAATCCCTGTCTGGCTTCCGAGTCCCATTCTAATATCGGTGTGTCAGGAGTTGACCCGCTTTTGCAAACGATCCTCTTGCTCTCAGGATTTTCACAAGTATTCCGAAGCGCCTGCCTGAGTCTGTTCAGCAGCTCGTCCTTTCCTTCACGCAAAGCTTTTAAACCGAGATCAATTTCCCCCATTAATCTCCGGTTGTAGTTTCAGTGGTCGACTCCTTGCCCCCTCTTCTCGGTTACCTCGGGTCACTGCAAATGCCCCGCGCACTCTCCAGTCAGTGAACAAGTCTTCTGTCCCATTCCCCCCACTCCCCCCCACAATCTTTGGATCTCCCTCCCTTTTTCCCCCTTTACCTCTTCAACCTGGCATGTGGTCGCTCTGCCCCTCCTCCTCTCGGTCGCACGGCCTCCAGACACACCCATGTGTGAAGGGCGATGCGTAAAGACAACTTGTTTGTTTATGTGGAGGGTCTTAAGTATCGCTCGCATGTCTGTTTGGGGGTACGGGCGGGGTTGGGGGGGAACCCAGTCTTTAAGCAATGAGACCAAGGGTACAGACGAGGAAAGTTGTGGGTCACACGTGATCCACAAGGTTTCCATGTGAGCAATGAACTACTTCAATTGTAGTAAAGAAGTATGGGAACCTTCCCCCTCCTCTCTCCACCCCTGGACAAGAAAGAACAAACAGAATTAGGATTACAGCAAAGACAAGAGCGATTTTATATTAAAAACATCTTACTCACAGATGAATAATACTGATAGAAATTGAGGACAAATTGCAGGTCACCTGGTTGTACAGTTACGCATCTCTGGCAATAATGGGCGAACAGCGTAGCTCAGGAGAGAGCATCTGTGAAGCTCTTTCCCGCAGTTAAACGGGTTGATGATGGGACCGCTCGCTCTCACGACCATCCCACAGGAGGTGGGGGTGGACAGAAAGGCAGGGGGTGGGGGTGGCGAGGAGTGTTGACAGCCGAACGCCATCCGGAAATCCTTTAAGACAAAAGAAAAACAATACCTTGCCCACTCCGCTAGATTCCCTGAAACTGATTAACAGGAGCTGAAGATGGTACAACATTAGCTAACTGGAAATAAAACTCACCGAGCCACGATTGATTGCATTAATGCTGGAAGATCACTGGGAGATTTGAGAACACGTGGGCTGTGGTGTGCGTATGTGTGAGCGGGTGCATGTGTGCGTGTGTGTGGGTGTGTGTGTGTGTGTGTGCACTGTATATACCGATTCAGGGTTTGCAGAGATTGAAAAAAATAGGAAGAAACATTTTCCTCAGCGCCGTGTCTGTTATTGTTGACTTTGCGCGCCTGCGTGTCCGTGCATTTCATTTTTCTGGTTTGAGACATAAAATAAATAGAATATTTTGCTTCAAGGCGGGAAAGGGGTTCGGAAAGGTGGGGGTTGGGGGCGCTGCGCTTTAGCTAATGTTGCAGAAGGCAGAGCCAAGACGTTACGACTTAATGCGTTCAGTGCAACGACGGGCACGCTGCATCGACGTCACCGAAATCTGTCGAGGTATGAAACTGCTGAGACGGTTCAAATCCATCGAAACGGAACGGATTCCAGCGTTTTCGCTGTCTCGTCTGATGATACAAGTTGGGTCTCTTGTGTTTACACAGAGAAGCGGCTGTTGCCGATCAGACTGAAATGAGCGCACGTCATTCTGGGAGAGTGACAGCACCTCCCGTGGAGAGGTGGAAAGGCTGCTTTGATGCTGCTTCTGTTTCGTGAACCAACCACAGTGTTGACCGGCTGAGATAGTGACTTTTGCAGCGAAGGCAGTGGACTATCGCGTCCCTCTTCCCCTTTCCCGCTCCGCCCACGATGGTTGATCAGCAGCGAAACATGCACTGGTCCTTGCCTGTGTTCATACCCACGCCAGCCTCTGCCCCTCCTTATCCTGTGGGAGAAAGGGAATGAAGGGGTGTAGGTTGGAGGGCAATAAGAGGCGAGGAGGGTGTGCGTGGTCTTTAAACACTGGCGTGGACTAGTCGGGCCGAATGGCCTGATTCCGTGTCACGTCATTCGATATACATTTATATAAAATGTTGTTGCATTCAGTCTTTTGAAGCCGGTTTCCTGTAGTTCTCAAAAGAAGCTCGGAGAAACAAACAAACAAACGCTTCAAAATTAAGGCTGTGTTTAACGATTTGCCAAATTCTGGATGGATTGAAATGCTACATCAATAGTCGAGACGTAGAATAATCTTCTCCCCTTGAGTGTTGTGTGATTTCACCTCCAGCTCTGCAAGGTACTTAGTGCTTTGTATCTCTTACTTAACTGCCAACAGGATTGTTGTATTGAGATGTTTCCAGGAAGGAAGAGAGGAAATCTGTAAAGAAGTGGTGTAGCGATGAGGTTTAAAGCAATGATATTCAGCCCATAGGAAATCCTGACTGGACGGAAGAGACGTGAATGAGGAACAAACGTGTTATCGGGTTAGGACTCGATCAGGCTATTTATTTTGCTCAGTGATACAGAGATTGGGTGAACATCTTTATTTGAGGTGCTATAACATTTCCAGACATCGGAGATGAAAAATGATTGAACAGGCAGATCGAGATGATTACTTTTTACGGGTGTTTCTGTACGCCAATATTTACTTGGCGCTAATAATTCTGCAAAATCAATAATCTGTCACAAGTCACTTATTTTTTTATGGAAGTAATTTAAAGCAGAATCTTTGGAAAGAAAGGATGCTGACGTCAATTTATAAACTCCTGAAATATTGGCTGAACATGAGCCTGGGCGTAGATTGTGGGACTCTGTGCCTCTCTGCTCCAGTCTACATTGCCCCTCTGTCGGGTCTGAATAAATGTTAATTTATTTTTGCACCTGCGTTGACGAATGTTTAAAAAATCAAGTACATTCACTCCCCACAGGCCTCCCGCTGCACAGCACCGAGTACCCGCTGATGGAGGAAAGAATGAATACAAAACTTTCTGACATTTCAATTCTTTTCACAGCGGGTCTACAGGGTGGATCAGTGTTTGATAGCCCAAACTCGCAAGGGAAAGCTTGTATTTAAGCAGCAATAAACACAATGCACTTTAATGTTCAGTAATCCGCGAAGTGATTTGCTCTGGCAGGAGACAGTCACGTGGCAGGGTCCGATTCTAAAGGATTGGATTGCAAATATTATTCCTTCTTTAAGCAAAGTTTAATTCCCCTGCTCGGTGCAGCATGGAAGGTTCTGAGGCTGGTGTCTCACACACACGAGAAAAACGGTCACTCGATCCACGATCTTTGCGTGGACGCTGCTGTGCGCAAACGGAGACCGCGTTTCGCCCGCAAAACACCCAGTCAACCCGCTGCGCAGAATATCCTGTCAAGTGGACCGACTGTATATTTTTTTTTTTTTTGCGCGCGCGCGCGGGCGAAAGATTCAATCCTAATAGAGATCAAAAGCAAAGGGTTGTGCAGAACTTCCAGGCGCGCCGGGACCCGTGCTCGAAGAACTCCACCAGATTGCAGAGCTAACTATAACATAGCTAGCTATTAATCAAGTACCGCTGCCAAGCCAGAGACGAGCACATAACTGTGAATCGGCAGCGCACAGCTGTTTGAGCTGATACCTTGTACTTTTTATTGATATATATGACATTCTTTTCCCTCCCACACCCCACCACCACCACCACCACCTCGCTCGCTCTCTTTTTCCCTCTGAAGAAAAAGTGTAGCGTACTGCCTTACCTTTCTTTGTCGGTGACAGATTGTGTTAATTTGTCTACTTCGGTGTTCATCAGCGAGACAGGCAACACGTACCTGTCACAGTGCAAATGAATGCACTTCAGATCCTTGTGACATTTTTTTTTCTAATTACAGATACGGCTTAGAAACGATTTGGATTATTTATCTGAATTGCTTTTACCGCCCCCCCCCCCACCCCCTTCTCTCTCCCTCCGTCCTCCTCACCCATCCAGAATAATTATTCAGATAAGGAGCTGTCGGAATTCTGTGTTTGATATTAATGCACAGTGTCATTTTTTGGGGCATTCAAAGAAACCTTGAGAAACCTTTTTGTTTTTTTTTAAAAAAATAAAGTTTTCCATCCACGTGTTATTATTTTCAACCCGCGATGGCTCGCCAGAGTCATTAACGCCCTTTCATTTGGAAGGGGCAAAAGGCACATCTTGCCTTATTGAGGGTGATTTGGACCTTAAATCGCCTCTCCTGTTTCTGGGGAGATTTTCATTTTCCCGACGTGGTCTGGCTTGAGTTCAGAATGATAGCTGTTAAGTGGAAGAGGCAATTCTGTCCCAGTGCGAAATTGAACCCTTCGCAGCTTTCGAAACACTCGGCTGTTTCCCTTCTGAATTCCATTGCGTGGATTTCAAGTGAAGCGAAATAAACGCGGTTATCCTTGTGGTTGATTCCACCCTTTCATTTCGGCGGGAGTCTCGAAGCGCTTCTTCCACAGGTATGACCGTAAAGTCTAGTGACTGCTTTTTTTTAAAAAAATATATATATGCAGTCAATTCATACGGTTACTGTACACTGAATGCACACTCCATTCACTTCACTGTGTATTCTGTGAAGCACTTTGAGATGTCTCAACGGCAAGGCATGATGAGGCGCTATATCAAATGCAAGTGTTATTATCATTATTTAGGCGATCACAATTTTCTCATCACGCCGCAGCGGTTTGTTTGTCTGCAAGATCCGCAGCCATCAATCCTGTGAAGAGCTTTTAGGTCGCCTTGAATCTGTGATGAGACGCTGTGTCAAACGCAAGGATTATTATTAATTATTATTATCGTTATTATTGCCAGTGTAAGACCGTGCAGATATGATTGAGCCGCGCAGTTCATTCTTTCGATTTTTGTGGTATCCATCCTTTCCTCCCTCCCTCTCCCATTACGAGGGAGCTTGATGGTGCTGCTACTACGAACAAGCTTCCTTCTTGTTTCAAGTGGGAGGAAAATTCTTTCTCCTTTTATTTTTATAAAGGATGCTCTTGTCAGGACTTGACTCTGGCTTCCTCGGCAATGCGTCCCGCGATTTAAACAGCGCAAATTGCCAATAACTTGTAACTGCGTGAATAATAACAAAGCAATAATAATAATCCTTGCGTTTGATACAGCGCTCTCTTCACGTCTTGGGGACGTCTCAAAGCGCTTCACAGGTTATACTATCAAGTGAATTGACTGTGTGTTTGTGGGCGAAACGAGGCAGCCAATTGCGCACAGCAGCGTCCCACGAACAGTCGTGGATTGAGCGACTAAAGCATTATTGTTTTTTTGGGGGGGTGTTATTTTCTTAGGGATTATGATCAGACATGTGGAGTAATGGACCTTGGACGTGTGACAAGTCATGTCACGTCACTTAAAGCAGCGGTCCTCTGGTCCGTGTCTTCTCTTGCTCTCGTTGTCATCGTTCGGATCAAAAGGCTGGCAGTTTAAATCAAAAGTCTAACGCAGACTTTTACTTGCTCCTTTAGCTCAGCTGGTCTCGCGTGGTAACCGCACTGTTTGGCGAGAGAGAGAGAGTAAATATAGTCGTAAATTCAGTTTGTGTTCAGGGTTAGGTGTGTTTTGTTTTCTAACTGGACAATTTACGAAATAAAATCACCGGCCCACTGGAACGCGGTAAATATATGCAGCAGTAAAAACACGTTTTAGCGGTCACTCAAGTTTTACGCCCTCATGTGACTTAAAGATGTTGGGTTATTTTTTCCGATTGTTGCTTAATCTCCAGATCTTAATAATAATTTTTTTTTAAAAATGCTTCATGAAAAATGAAACAAACCCAATATTACCAGAATAGAACCCTTTCTGGAAATATAACGAAGTAAACTTAAAATTTGCAAACACCATGATGTTGATGTCAAGACCAAACTGGTCGGAAGAGGAGCGATGCCAAAATATTGTACGTGGACGCGGTGTTCGGATTGCAAAGGTCGCAAAATTGTACGGCTTTGATGAGACTCTTGTTGAGGCTGCGTAGGCTCGAGAAGGGGGTTTGGGAGTGGGCAGGAGAGATGATCTGAAAAGAGGAAGACTGTGAAGATAAGTCTGGAAAGAAATATGGTCAATAGAAACGTTGGACGTGATACGGAACAAGATGGTTTCTGAGCTGGTGAAGTGATCAGGTCGAGGACAGTAACTCGTACAGTGAAAAATGACCGCTTCGGAGTCAGCTGCAGTCTTTATGGGGAGATTGTCCTCTGGATTGAATGTGTTTTTCTCTCTCTCTCTCTGATTTGTTGGCTAACCTCCCTATCTTAATCTTAATAATAATGCCACGATACGAAAAACGAAACAAACAACATTACCAGAATAAACCCCTTTTCAAGAAGAGCTAATTTAAAATTTGTATACACTTTGAAATTGATGTAAAGACCGAGCGGCGGCGAAAGTGACATTGAAAAATAACATCATAATAATCGGAGAATCACAAGTACTCGCAGATAGAACAGTAATCTGTAACAAGCCAGATATTATCACAAAGAACCAAATAGATTGTACATGTGGTATTATTGATGTGGCTATCTCAAGTGATTACAACATAAGAAATAAGGAACTGAAGAAGATCAGGAAATATATCGATTTACAAATTGAATGCGGACGGATGTGGCAGAATAAAACAAACATCGCTCCTGTAATCATCGGTGTGACCGGGACTGTTAATAAGACTATTCAGAAATGGTTTAACAAAACAGCCAGCGAACAAAATATCAACCTCCTGTAAAAGGTAGCTGTTTAGGAGGTTCAAGTATACAAAGAAAAGTAATATCCATTTATATATATAGCATTATTATTGTTCGGGTTATTGGGCTGTCTGACCTATCATTGAAAACCACTTGGAAACTACCTCTGGAGAGTGATTTTAAACTGTAATAACAGAATCACACAGTGGCTGTTATAGCAATACAAAACACACAGTAGCTGCACTTTACAGTATAATCATTGTAACCCTTTGAGACGTCCCTTCCGACGTAAAAAGCGCTGTGTCGATTGCAAGATTTATGACTCATCTCCACTGTTTCCATGTCTGCAACAAGCTCTGTCATCCCCAGTGGTTTAAGGCGGTGACATTAGGCAATTACGTCATTCATGTGAAGTGCTTTGTGACGTCTCAGAAGACGTGATAACCATTTCAAACGCGAGGTTTACGTTATAAAATGCGCAAAAATACCCGGTCAATTCACTTTACAGTAATATTCTGTGAAGCGCTTTGAGACGTCTGGAAGATGTGAAAAGCCCAACATCAAATGCAAGGATGATTATTATTATATTATTATAGAAAGGAACCGACCTCTTCTCTTAACGCTTCCGCTTCAACTGAGTGCATTTATTCACAGTGTCCGGAGGGCCTGAGGCCTATGAGGGACGTCTCTGGTTGCTTTGACTACACCAAGGGCGTTGACTGCTCTGATGGGTTCAACGGAGGCTGCGAACAGCTCTGCCTACAGCAGACGGTGCCCTTGCCCAAAGATCATTCCTCCAGCAACATACTGATGTTCTGTGGGTAAGTACGCTGAGTAGGCTCAGAATCCTCCCCTCGGCCGCTCGTCAGTCCAAAGAGCTTGGATTTAACCCTCGGAGGTGCCCATTGGTCTGCACCAGGAGTTTTTGATGGGTCTTGCGAACAGTAGAACCAGAGGACACGGCCTGCGATCAAAGGGGGGGGTGGTGGGGGGAGGAGACCGGCAGACGTCGGAAGTAGAAAATGTTGTCTCTTTCATGATGGCTTGCCTACCACCACAGGATGGATCTTAATGGTAGCAAGCAAGCTGAGGCAATTAACATGACGAGGGGAGGAGTGAGGTAACATTAAATAGATGTCGGTACCAATACGTCTGTTTCTTATACCAACAAGTATAAGATCTCATCTATCTCGTGAGGGGGGTGGGGGGGGGGGAGATTCTGAAAGAGAAATTAGGAAAAACTGCTTCACGCAAAGGATACTGAGACCACCTGAAGCGGCGGTTGATTCAAATGCAAGAAAAACAACAACTTGCATTGTATAGGCGCATTCAAGAGGACGCTAGATAGACACATGGAGGCAGAAGGGAACATTAAGAGTGTGGGAGTGAGGGAGGGAGGGAGGAGTGGTGTGAGAGATTTGTGTGGTGTATAGTTGGGCCGAATAACCTGTTTCCGTGTTTTATGACCATTTGTATGATGAGTTTTATCAGGCGTGCAGGAGCTCGTAATTGTCTCGGAGTTGGTTCTTGTCCTGTGCGTTGACAGATGTGGCTTCTCTCTCTCTCCCCCCCACACCCACCACCCCTCTCTCCTCCCCTCTCTCTGTCTCTGTGGCTGCAGCTGTGTGGAGGAGTACAAGCTGGCCGCAGATGGCAAGTCCTGCCTGCTGCTGTCGGAGATCTGCGAGGGGGTCAAGTGCCAGAAGCTAGACGCCAAACTCAATGACACGCTGTTCGTGGAGATGCTGCACGGCTACAACAACAAGTCACAGCAGGTCAACCAGGGTCAGGTGATCCAGATGAGCTTCCGGTGAGCAATGCCAGACCCCTCACGTTAATCGCATCCGCTCGCTGTCGCGCTCAGTAGGTTTACATGAAAGACACAGGCTTGGAGGGGTTACGGGGATAGGACGGGGCTGAATGGATTCAACGAGCACCTTCACCATGAATTCCCCCGACTTTCCAGAGCCTTAGGACGTCCTCCTGACGTGAAAGGCCTCTCCCGACGAACGTTAACATGTTGTTGTTGCTCTCGGGGGCTGGTGCAGACTCGATACGCTGTAAATTGCTACGATTCGTTGATAATTAAATAAAAACGTGCAGCGGTTCTGTGTGGAACTGGCTTCGCTAAAGTCCCAGCAGAGTTGTTAAACCGAAGGTGTTTTTTTATCACTAGTACTCTTGGATGGTCTCTCGATGTCGCTTATTCCCAAAGCACACTCTGGGGGTCCCCCTCCTTTGCTGCCAACCTGCCGCTAATACTCTCTGGAATCAATAATACTCCCTGTATCCAACCGTTCCGGTTACGTCTCAATTAGCATCCTGTGCGTGCCTCACAATTTTCAGGATTGTGTCCCTTATGTGTCCCGCGACCAAGTTTGTTTCGTTATTTTATGAGCTGTGTGCGTCCCTCCAGGGAAGGAAGGAGCAGTGTGCATTTCTGTTTCCAAAGAGACGAGGAAATTTCCACGTGTAGGCGTGTGGGACTCTCAGCTTGTCTTGGATAGGTTTCTGCATGGGCCAGGATAACCCGGCTGACCCAAACTGTAAGTGGCTTAAATAAATGTAAGTTATTGTCCATCTGGTTCAGGGCAGCATCTGTCAGCCAGTATTTTGGCTCGTCCATCCGAGCCAAGAAATTGGTTGAACCGTGAAGAACAAAGTCTAACGATGCCTGAAGTCCAAATCCATCAATGTGCGACACATCCCTTTCACAACCAGAACAATCAGTGTCTGGTTCTCGTGTTCATTGCACCTCGAAGGCTTATCAAAGCACCTTTGGAGGGGGATGTAGTGGAGCAAATGGGTAGGAGGATTTGGGGCGGGAGTAGCGAAAGGAAAGATGGGGGGGGGGGGGGGAAGGGGGGAAACGGAGCATTGCGAGAGAATTAATCCAGAGATTCCACTGGGTTTGCGAATCTCCTATTACTATTCCGTACATGCATTCGGCTTTGCTGTGCAGACGGATGAACTGCCAACCATCAGCTGCAACCTAATGGAGTGGAAGACAAGTCTGTTAATAGCAGCCCCCTCCCTGCCCCACAGGGACAACACTGCCCCCCGCTGCCCCCCTGGATCCAGTCATTCCAGTTAATGTGCTATTAGCATTCTGTGCGCGGCTGCTTCCCTTAAGTGTCCGCGAGCAAATTTGTCTCGTGATTTTATAACGATCTACGGAGGCTCTTCATTGATTGTTTGGAGACTTCCTCCTGCCCTCAGCCGGTGGCAGGAGTGAGTCTGTACACCTGAGAGTCAGGACTTCACCATCAATGGGCGGCCAAGTCTGTTTTTCGTTAGAGCTTTTTTGTTTAATAGCGTTCCAGTTAATGACACCCCCTTAAAGGCGATGGATAGTGAGAGGTCGTGGATGTAAGATCCAGCTCTTTGATGGTGCTTTCCCTCCCCGCCACCTTGGCTCCCCTCCACCCCCAAACTTGGGTGTGTCCAGCCAGTACTGATGAGCGCTTTCGGACGTCCTACCTGATGTGAATTGTAAGTTTGTACCATAATATCGGGTCGCACAACAGCTGTGGAAACTGCCTCGATTTCCTCTTTACATCAGGCACGACTGCTAACTCTGGACATGGGGCTTTCCTCCGTGTTTCCAGGGCTTTTCCCCTTCTCCCCTGCACGGTATCTGACCGCCCCCCCCCCCCCCCCCCCCCACTGTTGTGAAGCTGTGAAGCGCTCTAAGACATTATCCTACTTGAAGGACGTGAAATTGTTGTTCAAACCCCTCTCCGCTGTTAGTAACCCACCTCTTAAGGGTTACTTTTCCTCAATACTGGCTCATTGAGTTCTGTAGGATTGGGTTCCTTCAGTGGTACTCGAGGGTGTTTGGTAAATCCACTCACGGTGGGGTGGAGATTTATTCTTACTCTGAAGCAGGAACCCCAAGCAATTATTTTCATCCGATCCAACGCTCTCCTAAAACCGAATGTTCCCTTCAGCCCAATGTGCGTGAGCTGGTCTCTGCTGCGTTATCAGTGGCCTTTCTGACGTCAAGGTGGACGAGGCGAAGAAGTAAAGCGAGTCGCGATGAACAAAAGAGAGGGTGACGTGGGGGGAGACAAACAAGTTCGGGAGAAAAGGCAAAACAGATGGAAAACTTTTTACTGAAACCGGTCAATAGCAGTGAGAGGAATGAGCTGTTTCTGTGTTGCAATCCTTTCCTGGCTCCTTGTAGCTCATCACTGTGAGTAGAACGTGCGCTGATTGTGAAGCAGAAGCTCATTACTCCGTTCTCGACTGGCTCGTTTCAGCGGGGGGGTGAGTAAATCAGTTTGTCTGTAAATAACGAGGTGTCTGGTTGCTTTAGAACAAATTATTAACGAAAGCAAAGCATCTAATGAAAGGTTTTGCTTTACGGATCCCAACTTGTGTGCCAGTCTCACTATGTGTGACTCGGAACGACCAGAGATTGATAACAGGTTGTCGCAATTTGCTTCTGATTGCAGCATTTGTGCTGTCAGAATATCAGTCTTTGGAAAGAGAGAGAGAGAGACAGAGAAAAAGAAGCAATTGTTAATCTGTTTTTGATGCTGCTTTTATGGAAATGAAGAGAACTATTGCTTTTCCTTTTGCAAATACCCAGCAAGCCTCTTTACTGTTCATAGATTCATGGGAATTTACAGAGCGAAGGGGCGTCATTTGACCCAGTGAGTCTGCATTCAGCGTAACATGTACGTTAATCCCACTGCCCCACCCTAACTCCATACTCCTTTAATATACCTGTCTTACTTCCCTCTTGAAACCTTCAATGGACTCTGTCTCCACCATCTTGATTGCTTGGCAGAGCTTCCCACCTCCTTTATTCTACGAGGTCATGGGATAAGCTCACCAGACGAGACAGTTTCCTCTGTGTGAAAGACGCCATCTATTCGCAGCTTGTCGGTGAGCTTCCTTGTGGGTTTTATTTCTGATGGAAATATCACCTCCAGCGTAGTTTGATGCAACTGGGCTTGAGGCGGTTGTCGTTTCTGGCGAGATGTCGGGTGAGAATAGCCGGGGAGGTGTGGAATTGCCAGAGGCACTGACTTGCCTTGTGCTTGTTTGCCTTCACTTTAATTGGCGAAGCCTCTGCATCAACACCGCCTTTATAAAATCCAATTGCAAAGAACTGTGACAGTCGATCAGCCTTCTGTTCTGCCATTAACAAATATAAACACATACGTCAGGCGGACACTGATTATTACGCAACCTGGAGGGGTCTGCTTATAAAGCCCGGGCGAAGGGAGCTAAGGCTGGCTTTGAACGCTGACTGGCCAACTTCCTTCGCGTGTGGTCTACGCGTGTGGAAGCGGCACCAGTGTCACTTCCGGAACGCAAGGCGCAGGAAATGCCGCTGACGTTGCATTCTCGGGGTGGGGGGGTGTGAAGAGAGCTACGTCGACGTTCTCTCACGTTCTCGTGAGGTGCTGGATCGAAAGAGTTACTGAACCTGATGGCCTGAAGCTTTCACAGTCGCTCTGAATCATCTCTGGATTTATCATCCATCTCCACCAATAATAATTAAGCTCCTTCAAAGTCTGCCTCACTAACTCCTTTAACGCAGAGTATTTAAGCCACGGAATATTTCTGAAATTGGCAGTAAATGGCTGGGAAACTTGCTCGCAGTTTAATTGTTTAAAGTGGTTGTATTTTGCAAGGTGTGAATTGTTCACGGAATTGCAAATTAACTTTGGCCGAAAATTATCTGAAGTAATTTGCTGACTTCTGTTACAATACCCTTTACCCAGTCAAGTCACTTCACAGTATATTCTGCGAAGCGCTTTGAGACGTCCCATTGACGCGATACGGCGCTACAATCAAATGCAAGGATTATCATTATCCCGGTTGGTGCCGGGTTTGCTGGGGTCAACGTGGGGAGGTTAGATTGGCCACTTCTTTTCCCTCTGGTTAGGGAGGCAAGAGCCAGCCAGGCTTCCTGCTCCTGGGCCCTCAACAGCACCCACTACTGGTTGTATTTGGCAGCAGGCTTTGGGGATAGGGGTTGAAGATGGGCAGATTCAGCTGTGACGCCCTCCACGGAATAATACTAATAGTAGTCCTTGCATTTGATATAGCTTATCATGTCTTCCCGAAGTCTCGAAGGCCCTTCACAGAACATACCGTAAAGTGAATTGACTGCATATTTTGTGGGCAAAACTCGACAACTAATTGCGCACCGCAGCGTCCCACAAACACTCGCGGATTGAGCGACCGGGTTGGTGGAACCTCACCCCAGCGATGGGAGGGGGGGGAACCAGTGAACGAGCGTCAATATCCCAGTGGGAAGGGGGAAAACGGGGGAGTAATTAGCGAAAAACAAACAATTGGGAAGGCAAAGGTCTGAAAGAAAAGCTGATTACATTTTAATACAAAGCACGGGAAGTTCCGACCTCACTTTTTGGATCAAGACCCGTACGCGGGCTGACAACTCCGCCATTCCTTCTGACCTTGCCTCCCTTTTTTTGTTGTTGTTGTTGTTTCTCGCGATCTCCTCTGGCGTCGTCGAAAATGAACAGCCGAAATAATGAGGTCTTGACAAGTTAATTTTGAAGCAATCAATTCTATTTTCTCTCCCCTGTTGCGCAAGGGTTGGCTCTAATGGAATCCTGCACTGAAGGGAACGTGTCGTGCTGGCAAATTGATAAAGGGCTTTGACAGTTGTAAACTATTTAGGTAAAATAAGTGGGAACTTTTATTTTTGAGCGACCAGAAAACAGTTGTAAGGATGTTCGTAGATGGCAAAAACTGTGCTGTGTGTGTGTGTGGTGTGTGCATATATGCACATGTATGCAAGCGTGTGAATCTGGCTCCGTTGGTAGCACTCTCGCCTCTTGAGTCAGAAGGTCGATTAAACCCTAGAGGTCGCAGTCTAGGCGGACGGACACTGACCTGCACTTCTGGGGAGAGTGCTGAATTAATTGTCAGCGGTGCTGTCCTTTGGATTGGACGTTAAAACAAGGACTTGTCTGGTTGGAGATTAAAGATCCCCTGGCACTGTTCAAAAAGAGAAGGGAAGTTTCTCTCTTTCCCCAAATAAAATCGGTTGCTCACTTCATGGCTGCTTGTGGGATTTTGCTGTCTGCAAACTGGCTGCAGCGTTTGTCTAGAAATGACTCAATCGCTGCACTTTACCTCATGTCCTGTGAAGTGGTGCGAGACGTCCTCCTGGAAGTAAAAGCCACTGTCGCCCTTACCAGCACGCAGTCATTTCATTGCAGCATTCGCCAGGAGGCAAGTGTGTCACTGGCTTATTGTCGGATCCAAACCCAGTTGACACCTGCGCACACATTCACACACCATGCACGAACGCACGCACACACACACACACACACACACACACACACACGCACACACACACACGCACGCACACGCGCAATCCAAAATGTACTTCTTTAAGAACCAGAGATTTCTTGAGGTCAGTAATAATTGTGCTTATTCCCAGTTAATAGAGACAGACAATTTGGCCGCCCTTCCCTGCTCTCACAGTAACTTTCAAAGTAACGGAGGTCTCAGTTTAACCATTATCACGCTAGGCAGGCAGACACATCCAAACAAATCGAAGCCAGGCTTTCCTAGCAATGCCCTTATCATCATTAGCACAATGAACACATCAGCGTACAAATTACTCAAGAGTTGGGAAGATAATCCGTCAATCCCTTTCATTTCATGCAGCGAAGTTTCGTCAGCCTGTTTCACCTCCTCCCCACAAACGCGAGTCTATTTTCATTCCCGCTCACTGCTTTCCTTTCGCTTCTAAGCCCCTGAGCTCTGGGTGAACATCCTATTGATTCCTCAGCAGCATTCTGGGTCAACTATTCTACGTAGCGTCCAGAGTTTGGCAAATTGTTCAGGTTCAAGATCCTGTTCCTCACTTGCAAAGCCCTCCATGGCCTTGCTCCCCCCTCACTCTGTGACCTCCTAACCCCCTACCAACCTGCCCGCTCCCACCGCTCAGCGGGGTTCGGCCTGCGTCACGTCCTCCTCCTCGCTCGCCCCATCATTGGCGGGCGGGCTGGCCTTCAGCCATTCTGCCTCCACCCTTTGGAACTCCGTCCCGCAGCACCTCCACCTCGCCCCCTCCCTTTAAGACACCCTGCCCTCCACCCTCCCCAATCCTGAACCCCAGCTCGGGTCCGAAACACTGATTGTCCAGTGCCTTGAAACGTCCTTCTGCCATGAATCTAGGATCTTGAACTGTATCCTCTGTGTGATGCGAAGCCAGTGGAGTCAGGCGAGGATGGGGGTGATAGGGTCACGGAGCCTGGTACGGGAGAGGACACGGACTGCAGAGTTCTGGATGATCTGCAGCCTGTTGGAGGGAGGCTTTGGGGGGGAGAGGCCGACAAGCAGGGAGTTTGCATAGTTGAGCCTCGATGCAATGAATAATCCTTGCGTGTTTTTTTGAATGCGTGTGCGAGGGTCTTGGCGGCCTGCGGCGTGAGACAGTGGGGGAGCCGGGCGATGTTGCGGAGGTGGGGGAAGGCAGAGCGGGTCATGGCACAGATGTGGGGTAGAAAGGATAGTTGAGGGTCAAACGAGACGCCAAGGTTACGGACTGCCTGGTTCCATAGACGCACACTCCCACCTTCTGCTTGCCTAGTCAAAAGATTTGTTGTCAAAAGGTTAACAGATAAGCTGTGGAGCGTGTAATGTCATTCAATATCAAGGTGGTTGTACAGTACAGGAGAAATTGTTTAATTTTCTCGGTGGTTTATCTTCCTCATGATATGAGGCTGCCCTCTCCTGAGGACGGAGTGACACTGCACCCAAAACAGACAAATCCCACTTTCTCAGCATTTCAAAGCTTCGGAGATTTTATAAATTCTTAAATATAGCTTTAATTAGGACGATTCTTTTTATTCATATATATATATATATATACGTATACGAGTTCCTTATAGGAATCTGTGTTTCGCCCACAAAATACCCAGGAGTCTTGCCCTCTCGTGGCAAGGTTGCATTCGTTAATGCTCAAACGCTGATAAAATGAGGTGTTTTGGCACGAAAATACACCACATCTCTGTTGCGGATGAGCTGCTAGAGTCCGCTACTGACGGAAAGCTGCCAGGCTTCAGAGCTCAAACAGGTTGATTATGGGGTGGGGGGGTGGGAGGAGGGAGAAGGGGAGGTTGGTTTACCAACATAATATAGACCCAAAACAAGAACAACAGTTTGTATTTACACAGCGCCCTTCACACAGGGCAGAGTCCCAGAGCGATTACAGTGGCGGATTCTGACAACGAGCGGGTGGGGGGGGGTGGCGGGGGGGGGGGGGGGAAGGTGACCTTAAGGACTGACTCCTTTTTTTTAAAATATAAGGGGCTTTCATTACACCGCGCGTAATGTCTCTAAATGAGGACGTGGCGAAATTAGCAGCGAGACTGCGATTAATGTCAGTCCCTTTGCAGTGACATTCAGGCACAGCCCATCCATCACTTCGCACAGAGCGCACAGAGACACACACACACACACACACACTGCAGCCGTCATTGGTATTCAGCGGGTGTGCGCTCTTCCTCGTGTCTTTAAATCCAACCCGGAGAGCGGAGTGGGTTAAGTTGTCCCAACATCCTTCTCGTTTTGCTCGCGCAGGTCAATTTTCGGAGCAGAGTCTTGAGGGATTACTGATCATCCCAGAGTTTGCAGCTTGCATGGGAGCGATCTTTCAGCGTGGCAAACGTCTCAGCCGGCATCAGGAAAAGCATCCATCAACCCCGCCAGACGATCCCAGAGTGTATTCCCTCCTCCCCTCCTTCGCTGGGCAGTAAGCCGGGGAATTAGAACTTTGTCGAGCTCTTTAATGCGCCCCAAAACCCAAGCGCGAGGCCTCTGTCACAGGTGACGGATGAGTCAGTGAAAGGGGCCGATTGACTCTTAGCCCTGTGCGTAATGCCCTACAGCCAACGCATTACCACCTGCAAGCTCCCACCTTAACCCGCCTTCAGCGGGAATCATTTAGAGACCGTTCCGATTGCCCGGCTCTTCCCTGCTGGAGCGAACCGAGACTTTGGTCGGAGGCAAAAGTAAGACTGAGGGATGGGGTGGGGTTCAGCTTCACAGCGAAGCCCACTCTGTTCTGTTTTGTCTCTCTAAGCGCTCCCGAGACACCGCTCCCTCCGCCTGACGGCTGCTTTGTATTACTAATCGAATGGATTCACAGCTCTGCTCACTTCTTCCCCCTCCCCCCCTCCCACCTTCCATCTAGAAACCTACCTGTTCGATCGAGCCTTGAGTTAACCCCCTGCCCCCCCTCCCACCCACCCCTAACCCCACCCCCGACTCAGGTTCACATACCGTCTCCAGTGAGCTCTTTGAGACATGACTGTTGCGTGATGGATCCTGTATTGAACACGAGCTTTTGTTTTTGTGCAACGTTTACCTTGACATTGGGTCACGGGCGTGATTGAGGGCGGGTGAGACGGAGCGTTATCAGTCCGTGGTGACGGGCGTTCCAAAAAACAAAACAAAAACATGCCTCGCCACCTTTAACCCCCTTCAGCACAAATCAACGTCCCTTCAAGCTCCTTGTTTTTGCACTCTCGGCTTTTTCTTTTCAAATAAAACAACCCCAAGAAAGCCCCCCCGACAAGGCCGTTTGCAAAATGGGCGCCATTCCGCTGGTCACTCGCTTTGTGGCTGTTCGCGGGACATTCCTGCAAAATGGGATTCAGTTAATTTACAGTGTCTTTTCATCTGAGATAAGACGTCTCAAAACGCTTCGCAGAATACACTGTAAAGTGAATTGACTGCATGTATCGCGGGCAAAATGAGCCACGGGTAACCATAAAACGCAGGGACAGAGAACAGCCCAGGGGTTGATCGCGATAAAGCGAACAACGTTTAAAGGCATCAGGATTGAATACATTTAAATAGAGACCGCTGCAGTATAGAAACAGTCCATTCAGCCCAAGAGAGTCTGTGCTGGTGTTTATACCCCACGGCCCCTGCTTACCCAACTCTCCCTTCCCCTCTCCTCTCTTCTCCCTGATGCATACATCAAGTTTCACGAATTGTAGGAGAAATAAATAGAGACATTAAAAGGAAAGCTGTTCCTCAATTACCTTCTTCACAACATCTCAATCCAGGCAATCTGGTCGCCTTCATTAAATATTGGCACACATGGCAATTGTCCAGATTGAATGTATTTACAGGGCCAACTTCATAGGGTATTATTTGCTGGCAAACATAATTACAGTGTGTGAGACAGCTATTTATTGAACAGTGCAATTTGCCTTTGTAAACATCTTTTGAAGACCGAGGTGCAATGAAATGAGGCTGCAATGAAGCCTGGAGTCATGGCTTGTAACGAGTTCGGTAACTTTGCTTCGCGAAAGCGTCTCTCTCTCTCTGCGTTCCTGAACTACTCGCAGAGTTTTGCAGTAATCAGCCTCTACAAATTGATAGGCTTTGCGGTTGCACAAAGGGTGGGGCGGGTGGGGGGGGGGGGGAGCTATGAGTAAGGGTCCTGGATTTGATGAATGATTGAGGAAAAAAAGTCTATCTGAGTTTGACTTTGAATTTCAGAGGACATATATTGCATTTGCATCAGTTCCCGAATTCAATAAGTTCGGCTTTACATCAATACAGAGAGTGCGATTCTACTTGCAGTCTCGCATTCGACGGCGTGACTTTCGGTCTTTCAAAAAAGTGACAAAGATTTACACCAGGTCCGTCCAGTCTCCATAATCCTCATTTAACTTTCAGGACAAAGAAAATTAAACAAGTTTGGGTTTCTTCCCGATTATTATTTGCCGGTTGTCAGCTGAGCGTCTTGACACCGAGTGTCTGTCTCCTTTCTTCAGAGAGAACAATTTCATGAAGGATTTCCCTCAGCTCGCCGATGGCTTGGTGGTCATCGCTCTGCCCGTTGAAGAGCAGTGCCGAGGTGTTCTGTCTGAGCCATTGCCAAACCTCCAGTTCCTCACAGGTAAAAACCACTCCCTCGGGGTGAGCAACAACGATAATTGTCCTTGCGTCCGTTCGATTGAGCGCCTGAGCACTTCGTTGCAAAGTCTCGGAGCCCTTCGCAGGACTTAAGGACTGCGTAGTTTGTAAGCCAACGTGACAGCCAGTTTGCACACAGCGAGATGTCCCCACAGACGACCCCAAAGAAAAATGAACAACCGATTATTATTTTGTTTTGTAATCTGGCCAGGACACAGCACCAACTGTGAAGTTGCCTTGAGATGTTTTTAAATTTTAGCTCTGGCGTCAATTCACAAGGAGTTTTATCAATAGCAGTGGAAATGTAAATCGCCCGATGCTTCGAGGTAAAAATGTGCAATGTTGCGTAACCGATTTGATGTGCTAATTATCACCGGTGATCATTAAACCACTCATGATGGCTGTTAATGAACCATTTACACCTGGTGACACCTTACCACATCAAAAGGTTTATGAACCACAGCAGACTAACCCTCACCCCCCCCCCCATCTCACCCCCCCTCCCCTCCCCCCTCCCCCCCACAATGCCTCCACACACAGTAAACACAGACATGCATTCTAGAAAAATCAGTAAGGATATTGATGCCGGTGTAGGAGATCGATAGAACCCCACTGAACCTCCTTTATCCACCACCGCACCCCCCCACCACCCCCCGCCGCCATCCCTCCTAAACAAACACAACACGACTCTTCATGTTGTGAGACGCACACATCTCCTTGCCTCCTGCTGCTTTTATGGGCCAGGCAGGTGGGAAACCGCCATCATTACCAAGTAAACAATATCAAAAAAAAACTTGACGCTACGATGGTCTGTCAGATGTGCTGGGGGGAACCTCACGAGATCGGTACGGATAGAGAAGGATTTTTGGCCCATGCTCTCGTCCCTCCATCCCTCCCAACCCGACCGTCCTCCCATCGCAGCACCAACCTGCTTTTCTAAATGAATCCCAGCTTCCTGGCCTCAACCGCCCCCCCCCACCCTGGCAATTTGCTCCAGCCGTTAATTCCAATACAGTGCAAATTTACATTTATCTCGTGGCGTCCACGTTCGGGAGGATTTTCGGTCTCAAAGCCCTTCGAAGTTTCCCCTCTGGTTCCTGATTTTACCGTAAAAATAAAAAAGCCTCTTGTTTATTTTCCAGGCGACGCCAAATACAGTGAAGCTACCGGCTACCCCATGGTGCAGGAGTGGAGAGTGAGAAGCAATCTGTACAAGGTCAAGATCAGCGCAACCACCTTGTCTGCAGGTAAACTCAGCGTCCTGGATATCGCTGAAAGAACGCAGCAGCCCATGGTGCAGCCGTGTCAGTGGAGAGATGCTGAGTCGAGCCCAGTTACGTACAGGCAGACCCAGGCCCCCCCCCCCCATTAAACAGCGGGTCCGTATACGAAGAGCAGCAAACGTCTCGTGATCCCTTCTGCGTAGGGATCGTAACGAGCAACAATGTTAGAACTAGGAAACACAATCAAGGAGGGAGTCAGTGCCCAGAGTGTACTGTGCACGGTCCTCTCTTCCTCCAACCGCAGTGAATTATCAGTAAAAGGTCAACGTGTGTGTGTACGCGTGTGTGTGTGCGCGCGGGCGTGTGTATATGATCGTTTTGCACACACGTCGCTGAGTTTATCCCGAAACGCAGCTTTCCCATCCCCTTGGTAGGATTCATGTCACACACTCCAATCTGTCTGCTCAATTCTCTGCATTAGGCTTCAATTCAGGTTTCTGATCAACGCGTTTTCAAGCGTTTGATTTTTTTTATTATTTCGGGGCCACTTCAAATCTCATTTTCTTTTTCAAGTTTCACGAATGAATCTTATTTTTCTTCGTCAGCGCTGACAGCTGTCCGATTCATTTAATCTCTTAGGTAGAGGTTGCGTGCGTGTGTGTGTGTTGGTGGGGTGGGGGGGGGCGGTCGGGGGAAGGAGAGTGCAGTCAAAGAGAAATATTCTCAGACGTGTCTTTAAAAAGTTAAATCCTGTGAAGCGGTATGAGATGTTACGACGACATGATACGGTGCAATATAATAATAATGATAATAAACCTTGCATTTGATATGGCGCCTTATCGCGTCGTTAAGACGTCTCAAAGCGCTTCACTGAATATATTGCCAAGTGGATTGACTGTGTGTTTTGTGGGCGAAACACGGCAGCCAATTGCACACAGAGGTTTCCCACAAACAGTCGTGGGTTGAGTGACCAAATGACTCGGGTATTTATTTTTTTGGAGGGGTCATTGTCTCCGGCGATCTGCCAATCGGCTAACAATCCAAATTATCAATATCAAACACAAGTATTCATTTTATTTTTGTGATCCACTCAGTAACCGCGTATTTTCCGTTACTCCCCACCCCCCCCAACCCCCCCCCCCCGCAGGCTTTGCCAATGTGCAGAAGGTCTTGAACGGGGAGAGCAGTCGGGAGGAATTGATTGCCATCATCCAGCAGTACGGCAGTCACTACATCACCGAGGCTCTGTACGGCTCTGAGCTCACGTGCAAAATACACTTCCCCAGCAAAAAAGTCCAGCAGCAGCTTTGGCTCCAGTATCAGAAAGGTAAGCTCGCCTCGTGGCTTGTTTGGTTGGCGGGCGTCACTATGATGTGTCGGGTCCTGCGGGCAGTAAAGTGGGGCCGGTTTTGGTTTGTGCTTTTGAAATTGTATTAAGAAAAATAATAATAATAATAATAATAATCCTCGCATTTGATACAGCGCCTGATCACGTCTTCGAGACGTCTCAAAGCGCTTCCCGGGACACGCTGTAAAGTGGATGGACTGTATTTTGTGGGCGAAAGGTCTTCAAAGGAGGAAAAAAAAACATGTTTTGCAGGTTTAAATTATTATGTTTTAAATTAGACACCCGACCAAAGCTGATTTACTGTCTTATCTCTCCCTCCCCCCCACCGCCACCTTCCCCACCGCCGTCCTGCAAGTTTTTCTTAACATGCATCAGTCAACAGGGAGCACTGCAGCCCCTTTGAAGGAGAAGCTCACAATAACAGGGAGGTGATGTGTATTTTCAATGTAGAATGCCACACTGTGGTGAGGTTCGTGTTCTACCTTCAGTGCTGTACACGTGCAAAGTGTCCTTTTCCATCTCTTGAGCTTCTCCAGAGTAGTTGATCCTCAGCGATAGGGCAGGAGCTTCAAGGTGATCGGTCAGTCGGCTGTTTGTCAACGTTTTGAACGTTGACAAGTCAAACCTAGAGGTACATGGACTATAAAAGCAAAGGGATAATGTTGATGCCTGTATGAATCGCTGGCGCAGTTGGGGTGAAGCGCTCTGGGACACGACACGATATAAATGCAAGCTGTTGTTGACGGCATTGCGTCCAGTTTTGGACACTTTGCGACAGGCATGATGGCAAAGCCATAGAAAGGCTGCAGAGAAGATTCACGAGGATGATGCCCGCAATGAGAGGCTTTACTTATGAGGGAAGCCTGAAGAATCTGAGGATCTTTTTCCCAAGAGCAGAGAAGGTTGAGAGGAGGCCCTGATGGAGGTTTTTCTTTAATTATGAGTTTGTTTGTTTTTACTTGGTAATTGATTTGATTTTCCTGCGTGAGTTAAGAATCCGTTACAAACAGAATCAGAGGTTGAGAGGGAAGAAAACAACTGCGTTCTGTATAATCATCGCTAGTAATAATGTTAATCATGTTAACGTTACATTCAATGCAGTATTACATCGTAAGAAACGCCTGAAAGCTCTTCGCATGATATTAATGCGAGGTGTAGTGACTGTGCATTTTGTCAGGGACCCTGCAGCCCGATTTGCGCGCAGCTGTGCCCTTGCCACGCATCGAATGACCCGATTTATTTTTAATATCAATGCATTATTAAGCGGAAGATCTTTGGCCAGGACAGTGGGAGAAAACTCCCTGAGTAGGGATAGGAATAGAACTAGGGCGAGTTCCTTCCCGATCAAATGACGGAACAACACCGGAAAGAACCCAGCGCTGATAGCTCAATGCTAAGCTGTGGGCTCGGTGCCCAAATTTAAAGACTGTCTGGAGCCAGAGCTCCAGGTTCCTGTTTTATAGGCAGTGTCTTCAAGGTGATGACAAGACCGGGTGGTTTCTGAGGCATTCGAACCCTATACTCTCCTTCCAAATAGCTTGACGCGGCTCAGACTGGCCAGCCTGGCTCACAGCTACATCTTCATCAGTTGGAAAGTCGCAATCGATTTCCACGTGTAATGTTTCCAACAGTAATTAAAATTAATCATTAAAAATATCCTTTGCATTTGATGCAGCGCCTTTCGTGTCTGGAGGGCGTCTCAGAGTGGTTCGCGAGATGTACCCTAAAGCGTATTGACTTGTTTTCTGTTGGTGTTAAAAACATGATGTACACTCAGAGGGGGAATCTTTTTTTTTTTACTTGATGTTAATCGAACTTGAATTAACTTGGGTAAGCGACCAGCAATCGAGCAATTTTCAAGGGACATTCGCGCAAAAATAAATCGTCCAACTTTCCCCCTTTATGCATCTTGTAATTATCCTGAGTTTGTGCCCTGTGTTACTGATTCACCAAAGAGTGAAAATTATCTACCTGCAAAATACAGCCACTCCACCGTGAAACCCTGTGAGGGGTCCTCCCAGTGTGAAAGACGCTGTACCAAATGCAACGGTAATTATATTTAACAACCTGCAATCCTTCCGTCAAATGCCGATTTCCGATATTCTTTTTGAATGTCGGTTAGCTGCGCTGCTTTGACGCCCACTTCCCTCTGTAGTTTGTGGATCGTGTATCCTGGTTGTAACAGCTTTCGCCAGATGGTATTGGGTGTTGTGTATAAAATAACACAGAGACCCATTTGATCTGACCTGCCTTTTCATCGCAACGCGAAGTGTTGATTCCACTCAGTCTGCGATGCTCGGAAACAGCACCAGGGGGCACTCGCCACTCACGGCGGGAACCAGACACTTTCAACACTGGTATCAGAAGCACCAACTCGTCTTTTAATTAACTCTTGTTAGTTCTTTTTATTTAAAAAAAAACCAGCAAAGGAACATTTCGGGTGATCAGCAACTTCCCAACCAACTTTCTTTTGTTGAAGTTTGCACTGTGGCAGAAGGAACATTTGATATTATATTATATGATATATATATGTAATATTTTTTTTGGGATGAACTGCTGTCGAATATTCTACTTCATGAAGAGCGATTGCCATTTAGGCAGATCTCAAATCAGCAAAGTGTCGAGTTGACTGCGAGCCAAATAGGGCAATCAGTTACCAGGGGCTGATGGGTGAACAGAGTGATCAGGTCTGAATCTGACTAAATTGCATGATGTAATTTGAGAAATTGTGGAAAGCGATCTCATAAATCAGAGGTACGATACCGTGATCATTGGTAAGTGTACTGACCTTGGCTATCGGAGCCCATAATGGGATTTCTCTGCTATAAGCAGACACCGCCAAGGTCGGTATATATGTACCCCGTAGAAAACAATCCTTAGATGGGCGAAAAATATCCATTTGGATGAACTGTGTTTGTGTGGGATAATGATAGTGGGTTTTGATAACAATTTGTCAGGATATCAATTTGTTCACACACACCCTCTCCCCCAGCCCCCCTCACACGCACACCGACACACGCAGACTATGCTTCAAATGCAACACAAGTGGCATCCTTTTAGCCTCCTGATGGAAACCTCCCACAGCACTTTCATGCGGCTTTTTCGAACTAACTTGTTGGGTGTCTCTTGCTCAGTTTTCGAGCTCAGTTTCGCTCATCCGAACCTCCATAGTTCGAAGAGAGGAGACCTTTGCTTCTCTGCCTAGCATGTTTGTGAACCCAGGTTCTCTAGGCAACCCGTTTCCGATACGAATTTTTTTAAAAGAAACTGAGATGCACTCACCTTGAGAAGAGGAATATTATGTGGCGTGATAGGCCCAAAATGGCCAGGTATATCCCTGTTTCTCAAGTGTTTTAGTTTAATTTTATTTCCGTCAATGTAAAAAAAAATCTACCTTCCTTCTGTCTTCTAACATTGTCTCCGAGGCTCGGCAGCTAACCAGATACCAAGCCTTTGCCAACACTGTACAGACAGGTGTGTGAAGGCGACTGGCTGTGTTCTGGTTTACATTCCTCCATCCCAGTTCGACCCCACTTCCACCTCCTCCCTCCCTGGTGAAGTCTGCAGTCTTCTTCAATGCTGCCGTTGCCCGGACTTTACATTTTTGTACAAATCTGTTAGTTATTTGCGCAAAAACCTGTCTCATCTCTTCTTTTTGTCTGCAAGTTTGTCTAACAGATGTCGGCAAAGAGAGAGAGAGAGAGAGAGAGAGAGGGAGACAAGACAAAGAATGTTTATTGCATCTGATCTTTTCATTTCTGAACACTCGTAAACTCAGCATATCTGAGTCACCTCCTCCAAGGTTCTCCCTTCTTGATACTCATCTCCTCTCCCAAAGTCGGTGTCTCCCTGGGTGGTGAGGAGCGATGCGGTCTTTCTTCACAGGAGGGTCTGTTCAGGAAGGAGAGAATTTGGCTGCTGGCCAAAGCCTTATCCTACCCCCTGTGCGGTGTGTCTACCTAACACAGTCACTACATTTCACCGAAAAACGCTGCAAAGTGCTTTTCGGATGTCCTCCCGACATGATTATTATTATTATTATTATTATTTGTGCATAATTTCTAGCGGAAGCCAGTGGAGTACACAACATCGAGATGTCTCAAGGACTTCACTGGATTTTGTTGTGAAGTGCAGTGACTAATTTGTAGGGCAATGCTGCAGCCAATTTTGTGCCCAGTGATGTCCCACAAAACAGCCACGGAGTGAATGACCAATTTTATTTGGGAGATTGTTGGCCAGGACATCAAGAGAAATTCCCTTCCCTTTATAAACAGCGCTGTGGGATCTTAAATGTCCTCCTGATCAGGTAGACTAGACAGGGCATCAGTTTCATGTCTCATCCGAAGGACAACGCAGCACTCCCCCACCTCCCTCTGCCCCCACCCCCCTTCCCCCCCACTCCGCGCCCGCCCAGCACTGCACTGGAGAGTCAGCCTAGACTGTGAGCCCGGGCATCTCAATTGAGTCAAGTGTCTGAACCTCTGGCTAACTCAGCTCAGACTATGAGTCAGACTTGCAGATTTCCAATCTGTATTGCGTGGTGCGTCGATGTCCACTTAACCCAGCGTGAAAGGTGCTTCACCAACTGAAAGCATTATCATTTATTATCAGGATCGAATCCAAATGCAGTTGATGCACAGACCGGCTACTGGCAATTGTCACACAGACACGAGGAGAGTTAAGCAAGTACTCTCTCTCTGTGTACACGCACAAATATTGTTTATCATTCACCACTTTGGTTAATGGAATCAACATTTCATCTGTGGCTTGCTGGCAAAACTACTGGGAGCACACAGTTTGAATTATTTACTGTCACACATCATTATAGGTATGGATGTGCAATTTTATTCATGGAATTTGCTGAAAGAGATGTTTTCCAGTAAGCGAGTACTGTACTTAAGAGGCCTAGGTTGTGTGGTCAGGAAAGTAACATGGGGGGGTGGGGGGTGGGAGGAAACAATGTTCTGTCTGAGAGTGTTATTATTAATAATAATAGTAATTTTGCATTTTATCACATCATTGAGGCGTCTCAGAGCGGCTTCACAGAAAATACCGAATTGACTGTACTTTGTGGACTTCACGTCTCTGTAAAGTGTAATTTCTCTGGAAGGTGTAGTGACTGTGTATATGCAGGCGAAGGCGGCAGCCAATTTGCAGCTTAGCCATGTCCTGCCATCAGCATCGAAGTGCACAATCAAACGTTTTCCTTTGTGTCTGGGGGATTGGCGACCAGGGCACCGGGAGAAGCTCGCTTCTCTTTTCGAGTCGTGACACAGGATCTTTAACGCGCCCATAATTTGACGTCTCATCTGAAGGACAGCACCTCCAACAATGCACCCCCCCCCCCACCACCACCCCCCCCAACCACACAAACACACACCAGCACGACATCGGATGTCAGCCTATACGAGAACAACGCAGTTGATAATTATAGATCTAAAGGGATACAGTGAGGTGACCTGTCTCTGAAGAATTTCACTTGTGGTTTCTTAAACAGGAACCATAATATAATGACATCGCTCCAGATCAAAGTATATATATATATATAAAAGACTGGATTAACTCAACAATCGGCAATTTACAGACATAGCCGGCAAATTAACATCTGGCTATCAAACTCTATAGCTGCTGCCAGTCAGTCAGTCAGTCAGGAAAAGATTCTCTTTGGCAGAAGATGATGCTCGTGGCATTGGGAGCCCCTGTTGTTTGGGAAAGGCGGAGTGACTTTCTTCTAAGCAAGTGGAAACCTGATAGCCAGAGGCCAGAGGTAGTGCCAGGGTCTGCCGGGCTATTCCCAGCTCCACTACCCTGCTGTGGTCGACGACACACAGACACTCACACACAGACGCTCTCACACACGTACAAGGTTTCACACACGCTGCTTTGGTTCCCGACAGACCCATCTCTCTCACGGCGAGAGCCAAGCTGTCACGGTTCGAAAGACGAGCAAAATGTTGCGAAACACAGAATAATGGAAGCGTGAGCGCAGGAGTGAGCTTAGACCCATGCTTTGTTTGGAACGAGCGTGAAGAGTGCAACGAGTTCACATCCTCAGCCTGAAAGCGTGCTCTACACTTGCCAGTGGAATTATTTTATCCTCCCCAGTGTGCGGGTCTCACGTCAACGTGTGCTCGTCTGAAGGCATGTCAACCTGAATTCCTTTTGATAGCGAATCACAGATGACACTCGCTCTCTCCTCTCTCTTCTCTACTCTCTCCTGGAACTTATCCAAACTTCTAAGCTCCACCCCCAACCCCTCTCCCCCCTTCCACCCCACCCCACCCAAAGTCAGTTTAGGGGGACATTAAAAATCCCATGACGCTATTCGAAAAGAGAAGGGGAGTTTCTCCCGGTGTCCTCGCTAACGCTCTGCCAGATAAAACGGCCGGTTGTGGCACATTGCTGGCCACAAGTTGGCTGCCACATTCGCCTGTCATCCTGCGATACTATCATCAGTATAGGTGGACTTTACTCGTGTTTAGCCTTGACGGACGTGTTGGTAGACGCCTTGAGGACATCACAGCCCAGCTCAGTCCTGTCCTCGCCAGAGAGTGAGCGCACATGTGATGGGGGGTGGGGAGAAGGAAACCTTGTTCGAGTTCTATCCTCTCTCGCTCGTGGGGCAGACATTGGGGATGGACTGACTGACTGCGTCAGCCCAACTGGAATTAACTCAGTGGGATTCGAACCTGCAACCCACCGGTCTGTGAGCACAATGAAGCCCTGAAGCTTTATCCACCAAGCCATCAGGGCAGCAGATGTTCTGTACGAGTGAAGGAGATTATGAACAAAGTTAAAGTTGATTAAAAACGATCCATAAATTACGAATTTCACGGGAGGCCTCGGTGACCAGCGCAGTTAATGAGGTGACTCTGCTATTTGGTATTGTTCCGCAGGTTGTGTGTGTGCGTGCGCGCGTGTGCACGCGTGCGTGCGTGTGCACGCGAGTGTGTGTGCGTGCGTGTGTGTTTAAGTGTGCGTGCGTGCGTGCGTGAGTGTGTGCGTGCGTGCGCGTGTGTGTGTGTGAGCGTGCGCGCGTGTGTGTGTGTGCGTGTGTGCATGTGAGCGTGCGTGCGTGCATGCTTGCGTGCGTGTGTGTGTGTGTGCACAGACGAAACGCTCTGGCAAGTTTTCAGTCAGACCGGCTCAGCTTAACTTTGATCTGTTAATATACAGCTCTGTTTTATTGCCAGCTTCAAATGATAAGAGATTTTCAGCGGATTGCAGAGTGCAAGAGATTCAGGAGAATAGTGCAAAATGCCAAAAGCAACTTGTTTCAGAGCCTTCTCTTCCCTCCGACCCCTCACATTACCAGGGAGGAGGGAAAAGTGATGGGGGCGGGGGGTGGGGGGCGCGGGGGGCGATGGAGAGCCATTCTTAAGAAGCAAAGTCTGACTTCTGGTCTAAACGACCCAGTGGTCTGCTTGAACAAAACCGCAGTTAAGCACCGAAAAGGAGATTTGAGGTATTTATATATATATATATAAAAAGAATTGGCTTCATCTCAGAGCCATTTAGTGGGGTTTAATCGAGCGTCACATTTGGCATCAAAAATCATCAAGGTTGCATTTCTGCAACCGATACCGTGCTTCTCGAGTGTCTTCGCTCCCTCCAAATCATAAGACTGCGATTTCCGAAGCCACCAAATATGCATTTTTCTTTAAAATTCAGAAGCTTGTGGGTTTGAAGCCCCACGTCGGACATTTGTTTGATCCCATATGGTCTAAGCTGTCTCCCCCTCGCCCCCCCCCCCCCCCCCCCCAATGATGGTGGGGAGAGCGCTACCAAGGAGAAGGAAATCCCTCCCGGTGTCCTGCCCAACAATCCCTCCAGATAAAAATTAGTCCTTCACTTCACAGCTGATTGTGGGACATCGCCGTGCGCAATCTGACTGCCGCGTCCGTCTACAGAACACACAGGACCCACGCTTTACAGTAAATCCTGTTCAGCTGTCTGAGGCGTCTTAATGACATGATAAGGGGCTACACAAAATCCAAGGGTTATTATTATTATTATTATAAGAGGCTGCCCTTGAATTGGATAAGAAAGTTGAGAAAGACCGACAAATTTGCCAGCGACAGTGACTGGGGTGAATCAGTTTAAATGGCAGCGGCTGTTTTCTTTCTTTTGCTCACGTGGTGAGCCTCTCTGAGCACTTCATACAAGGTGCGACGTGCCCTTATTCTCTATGGAACCCTCCATATGGCTCCGCGTGAAATTTGGTAACGGAGCCAATTCGCATTTCGGGCTTCCTTTTTGCCTGCAGTTTCCGTCACCAACCCGGTGAGGTTATCTGCCCTGTTGGGTACGTCTTTAGTGATGTCAGCAGTTTGATGGCTGTCAAACTCGCCGTGCTTTTGAGGAAATGTCGGCGTGCAAGAGCAGTGGTTTCTCCAGAGTTAAATGGAGAGGCTATTTATTTTTTTTGGGGGGGTTGCTCGCTGACCGTATCTGCTCAGTAAGCGAGACATCACTCACTAAATGGCTGCTATTGTTGCTGCTGCTCCTTGGTGCAGCGATTGAGCCTTGATTTAATGCAGCAATTTGTTTGTACAACAAAGCCGGCACTGACTTGTTAATTATGTACCCTCCCTTTCTCCTGCTACCCCCCCCCCCCACCACCCCCCCCCAAGGCCAACTCCCTACTCAGCGCAACTCCCCTCCTTTCAAGCCAGTCCCCGGCTCTTCCTTTGCATTAACTCCGCTTTCGAAAAATAGCCTCACAAATGCAAACCCCAGCAAATTAGGAAAACTCTTTTAATTCCCGTAATGGATCAACGCTGATGCTGGTTTTCTGGTACGTGCTGCATTGAGATCAGCACGACTGTTTGTGGGGACGCTGCTGTGGGCAATTGTCTGCCGCGTTTCACCCACAAAAAGCACAGTCACTCCTCTTTGCGGTCTGATCTTTCAAGCGCTTTGAGACGTCTCAGCGACGTGATAAGGCGCTGTATCAAATGCGAGGATTATTATCATTAATAAAGCAAGTCTCGGTGTGTTTTTGCGCACGGGTGCACTTCAGTAGTCAGGCATTGTACTGGGGCTCAGTCAGCGAGCGAAAGAGCTGTGAGTAGGTGAGAGCAAAAGCTCTCGGCATGCTTTCCAGTCCTGAGGATCTGTATCAAAAGGAGAACGAGCCTGCCCTAGACTTGCTGGATTCGTCTAATAAGTTGCTGGCGGAACAATGGGCCGCAATCGAGTCTTTGATGTTTAATACGCTCGTGGGCACGGAATAGGTTGCAATATATCTAACATCAACTATTCAATCACTTGACTCTCAATGAGGAGGTCGTAAGTTCAACCAGCGGATCTACCCATCATTGGAGCGTGTTCTCCTCGGCCAGGTGAACACTGAACTTGGAGCCTGTGTCTGAAAGGTTTAGAGTCCGTCCCTCTTCCCTTCCCCCCCCCCAACCCCCAGCCCCCACCCACCCCTCCAAGATGGCGATTTTTGACACTTTGATTGTTTTTCCAGAAACGACCGAGTTGGGCAACAAGAAGGAGCTGAAATCCATCCCGTTTATTTCCTACCTGTCGGGCCTGCTGGGCGCTCAGATGCTGTCGGACGAGCAGCCGATCACGGGAGTGGAGATCGAATGCGAGGAGAAAGGCCAGTGCCCTTCCACGTGCCACCTTTGCCATCGGCAGGGCAAGGATCAAGTCAGCCCGAGCCCAGTGCTCCTAGAGATTACCCACATTGAACCGCTCTACTACTTGATAGAGGACAACATGACCAAAGAGGTGAGTGACCCACAACAACACCCGCCACTTTCATATAGCGTCCTTCACAGAGGGTGACATCTCGAAGCACCTCACAATAGCATCCACCTGAGCAGGTAGACGGGAACCTCAGTTTAACTTCTCAGCTGAAGGGCGACACTTCCAAACATTGCAGCATGTTATGGCTTGACCCCGTAACGTGACCGAGTGCTCCCAACTTGCGCGGTGCAGGGAAGTACGTTTCCGACGATATTTTTGCTCGTTTTTGACGTGTACTTAACTCACATTCGAGACGCTCGCCTGCTGTGTCAATGCAGGTTGCAGTACATCGAATTTCATAGCCTATAGAGCCCCGAAACAGACCATTCTGCTCGACGAGGCTGATTATATTCCACATCAGCCTCCTTGTTGTGTTCCTGACTCGCGAATTGTTTTCAGCTTGAAAAAGTCCGAAATCCCATGCTCGTGGATCTCTTCTGATATTGCAAGTTTTTGTCACGCCCTCTCCCTCTTCTCTCCCCACACCACCCCCCCACCACTCCCACGCACATATACTCCCTGAACTGAAGATCAGCGGGCACATTTGAACTAAATTGTCTTAATTAGACGTGAGGAAACGTGGTGAAGGATGGCGTGTGAAAGTGGCATATTTTAGTCACTTAATAAACCGCGAGAGAAATAATTCAACATCGGGGTGACAACTTAAGTGATACTGACGAATTTGCACTGATTGCCACCAGCGTTCGCTTTTTATCAGAATTGAACGGAATACTATTTCCCCCCCTTCCACCTCCCTCCCTCCATCCCTCCCTCCCTCCCTCCCTCTCTCTCTCCTCCCAACTCTGTACTGGAGCCAAATTCAATCATCTTTCCCCCTCCCCCCACCCCACCCCCCCCCCCCCATGAATAATGTGCTCGGTGTCTGAGTGTACAAAGGCAGCCAGCTGAACATTGTAAGCTGCAACGCTGGATCGATCGCCTAGTTTTTGCTTGATTGCACTTGTAGGTCAGAGAGAGATTAGGGAGTTTAATTTCATCCTGGAAACTTTTACCTTTCCCTCCTCGAGTCTCTCAGGAGATTAAATAAGTCGGAAAGTCCAGAACAGTGTGTTAATTACGCACGGCTTGTTGGAAGGAGTCCGTCCATTGGGCTGACCGATCTATTCACAAGTCACTGACTTCATCGTCTTAAGCTGGTGGGAAACTGGATCAGGAGGTTTTGCAGTTGGTTGTAGGAGGTTATCATATAATCCAACGAATGTTTACAAATGTGCCGTCTCGGCTCTCGACAGTAAACAAAATCCCGCTCAGTGTTTTGAGATGTTTCAACGGCGCGATGAATGCAAGGATTATTACTATATTGTTGTAATCTGAAACGGTGAGGATTGTGTCCTATTCAGAAACTCATCCAGTCTTGTCTGTGGCCCTGTGCTCTGTCTCTGAGGCGTATTATCAGTAGACAGGGGATGGACAAGGTGGGGAGTTCGAATCAAGCCCTTTGAAGTGCCAACAAATCAGGTCCCAAATCAGCCCTTCTGGTTCCCCTAAGGTCTCAGTAGGAAACTGTGGTTGAAAGCATCGATAAATTTCAGAGGGAACGTGATAATACATATGAGGAAGAAGTGAATATAGGGGTAGAGGAGAGGGATTAGGAGGGTTGTGGTATAAGCGCCGGCACAGTCTGATTGGGTTGTGTGGTCCACTTCTGTGCTATAATGTTCCATGTACTTTACACAGGCGTGACATTCTCAGATACATTGCAGGATTTTCACGCTACTACGTGCTCACTTTAACTCAGAGCCATTTAAATGGAAAGCCATTGACTGACAAATCTGCCGTGGCCGACACAGTGCAGATGATAGTTATGGGTCCACATAGGACAGTGAATACAAGGAGAATTTGCAGCTGAAAAGCAGGTGTGATTTTACCACGCAAGAGCAGTTCAAATCCACGCGGTCCACCACCAAGAAACTGCTCTAATCAGCGGAATATCCTTTGTTGTAGGGAAAAGGTCCATACAGCTGTCCGTTCCTGTAAATGTAGTTGAACGCCAATCCTCCAATGGCTTTCTGAAGACTTCCCGCTGCTCTGTTCACACCTGCTTCCAACTCCGCACCACTGTTTCTGTGAAGCTTCAGGTTACTGTTGTGAGTGAGGTTTGTTATGACTCACGATAACACCACTGACCAACACCATCTGTCTTTGGGAATGTGTCAAAGGCTGTAATTGCTGGATGATTGCGCTTATTATCCTATATGCACGAATCAATTGACCCACGCGTTGCAGTGGGAATGTATGGGTGGTGGAGGGGGGCAGTGGGAGAGAAGGGGGCAAGAGAGGCGAAATTAGTTTTTGCATAGCGGCCTTCACGTAGGTCAGAGTCTTGGACAGCTTCACATCGAGGCTTCGCAAAGCTACAAGCGATGGGCCGGAGGTCAGAGTGCTGCCAACTCTGTCAAGCCAACATGGTAAAGGTTTTAAGCTTGCACATTACGATTCCTGAGGCCAAAACCCAAGAAGCTTTCAGGAAGCGGGCTCTGAATTGAATCGATGCCATGGACTGATTTATGCCCCACTTGTATCGTTGAGTCCAGATTCTGCCAAATCAAAGTCCTTTTAATGATCTATAAATTTGCCAAATGAATCTATCTCAGTCCACACAAATAGTCATAAATCCATCGAATCCCTGAAACTTCAGCCCTTCCCTGCCCAGTTCTTACTGAGTCAAGTACATTTTGTGAAGCGCTTTGAGACATCTGAACGACATGATGAGGTGCTATATCAAATGCAAGGATTATTATGGTTATTAGCAACCCAGATCCGCTCTGCCTGTTCAAGTGGTTGCTAAAGATCCCGTGGCCTTGTTTGAAAAGAGTTGACAGCTTCCCCTGGTGTCTGAGCCAACATTTCTTCCTCCCCCACCCACCCCCATCCCCACATACAGATGGAATCAGAAATGCACAGAAAGTGAAATATTTCCTCGGTTTCTTGGAAAAAGAAGCCTGGATATTTGCGACTGCTTTGTTGTTTTGTTTTTTTGGGTGGATCAATGGCAGCCACAGTAGAACCAGTCAAAAGTTTCCACCAAAAAGTTGCATAAATCAAAGTAAAGGGTGACCTGAAGCCTGGGTTGAAGTTGGGATATTTTTTTTCCACACGTGAATATATTTCCACGAAATGAGCGACTAATGTTTTCATAATTCCCGGAGCTTTTGGTTTTGATGTACTAAATCGAGTTTTTGGAAACCACATAACCTTGAAATAATATTTTGACAGCTACTGTGCCCCGCTGAAGTTTGTTTACTCCAATCAAAGTGTAACAGCCAGGGATGGAGCCGTGAAGTGAAATCGTGCGGAGTCAGTCAGGCACCGACTGTTGGAAGTTCTGGTAGACAAGTACAAGGGACCAATGCCAATGCAGGGATTGTAGGCTTCAATAGCCAGCGTGGGGCAGAACGCTGGGCGAGTTGCTCTAGAATTGACACAGCGAAAAGTCGCCTCTTTTCTGCTGCGTAAAAGGCTTCCACGCGAGTGGATCTGGAGCAGTCTCAAACCAGTGGAGCCCCTGAGGTTCAGCGGTAAGAGCACTCGCCTCGCAAGCGAGAGATCTGGGTTCGATTCCCCGGGTAGAGCGAGATGTTGGGGCAGGTTTCTTTACTCCACACGCCCCTGTTAACCTAGCAGTAAGTAGGAACCTGGCTGTTAGTCGATTGGCGGATTGCTTTTCCGAGGGTAATAGTTTCTTCAAAAAACAATTAAAAAATCGGTCACTTCAAACCACGACTGTCTGTGGGACGCTGCTGTGTGCAATTGGCTGCCGTGTTACGCCCACAAATATACAGTTAATTCACTTTACAGTACATTCCGTGAAGCACTTTGTGACGTCTCGAAGACGTGATAAGGCGCTGCATCAAATGCAAGGATCATTAGAGTCCGTTAATCCAAGAATTTAGCACGAAAAGGGAACAGTTTGCGTGATACCGAGGGAATCTTTCCAGAACTTGTCACGTCTTTTCCTCGTCAGCAGGAGAGGGAAAAACATTTGTTGTGTCTTATGTCAGAGTCCAGAAAGAAAAGTTGTGCATCATCGGGAGGATGAGAAGGGAAGGGGTGGGAGGGGTGGGCAGTTGGAATTTCATGAGTTATTGTGGTTTGAGCTCCATCAAACAGCAGTTGCTTCAATAGCAATAAAACAAGCCATAAAGTAATGAGGTTTTCCAACATGTATCCCATATTGATATCAATACTTAACAAGTCTAGGGTTGGCTGGCTACCAGAGCACGCAGTTTGTTCAGGCCGCTACCCTGGATCTTAATAAAAAAAAATGTTTTTATCACTCCCTCTTTATCCTTTTCTCTCATTATTTTTGTTCTTGTAAAAAAAAAGATGTCATTCGTTATTTGCATCGAAACGTTATTTCTCCAAACACCTCCCTACTCCTCTCTCCACCTCGTCCCCCCCACCCCTCCCTCCCCAACCGCCTCCCGTCCCCCCACTCACTCTGTTCCCAAACGCCAATTGACTCGGGAACAAACTCATGAAAGTGGAGCACAAAACAAAGGGCGCAGAGCCACAAATAAAATCTGGGAGTACGGTCCCGTTGTATTGGTCACGGGGACCTTTTGGGCAACGTGTTCCGGTCACACAGACCTGGTCGCTTTCCAAACCCATTTTATGCGCTGGTCACCCCCAGAATGAAATCTCTTCCATCAGTCACGTGCTCGCCGCTCAAAAGGTTAACTTGACCAACAGAAACCAGAAAGAGAGAAACCAGAAATGAAAGCGATAGAGAAGACATCATTAAAAGGGAAATGTTTTCACTACAGTGAGCAAAAAACCAGAGCAAAAAAAGAACAAAAACTACAGAGTAAAAAAAATCCCTCGGCAGAGGTGTCTTCTGTTTTTGTTGCAACAAAATGGAACATTTGAACATCAAACGCGACGGAGTTTTATTACCAAACGCGTCGCCGTCGTGCCCACCCGCTCGTTGGGGTGGGGCGAAGGAATTAATGCACAAAATG